CGGAAGATTTGTGAAACAGGAATGTGACCTTATGAATTAAGTAGATAGGTAATAGAATCGTCTAAAAAAAAAAAAGGATAGCTTTAAGAGTAGTACCCCCGTATAGATTTGCGAGAGTCACACACACGGAACACATACACTATCACCACACTCGTTGCGTTCAAACTATTGTCGTTGTCATTCTTACATATAATTTTTTTCTAGTATTTAGTAAAGCTATTACGATTGCATCGTTAGCGATATTAATTCTAACTATTTCATCGTATTACAAACGTATAAGTATTTTTTTCCCCTCGTAATTGTCGACGTATATTTAAGTATAAACGATTCTGTTTCTCTTCCTTTTCTTTTCTTTTCTTTTCTTTTTTTTTTTTCATTTTTTTTTCTCACGCGCGATCTTTTGTTAATTTATTATTCGCCGTACACGTCCTACGTTTATTTATTTTTTATCGTTTATGTTTCCGCGTTAGATCACACGCCTCGTTTACGCGTAGATCACATACAGACTTAGTACTACTACCGCTGCCACCACTGCGATCATTATTATTAGTGCTATTACTATTACTATTACTGTGTCCATTACTATTGCTATTATATTATCATTGTTGCATACGTAGATACATGTATACGTATGCGTGCGCGTCGCGTGTATATGCGTATGCACGTGTTTATAATGCGTTCTGTAACTTATATTATTACTATCCTCTTTAGATGTAATTTTAGATACTTTGTAAATAATACTGCCAATTTATCGCGCATCGACTTCCGAAACGCTATTCGCTCTCTTCGTGCGCGACCAAGTCGTGGCCAAACTGTACGATACAGCTGTATATTATCTATACATAAATATTCTATATACACATATATATTATATATATATATATATAAAGGTATATATATACACATAGATGCATACAGTTATATAAAATATTTATGAATTGTGAATAGTAGTTAGGGAAATCGTGTATAAACGTTCGTTTGTAGGTTATAGGCCGAATACGCGCTTAGGTTAATACTTTGTTGACGTTACCTTTGCCACGACTCGATCGCGACTATTTCATTATACGTTGTACTATAAAGACATCCATATCTCACCATCTTCTCGCGATATTTAGGAGACATAAACAGGGTATTCGGAGAAAGGATTTGATGGAGAATAGTTTGGTCGTCGTGCCTGCGAAGCTGCACGAGTATGCTCGAAATAATGGTGGTTCGTTTACGGATCGGCATTGTCCTTGTGCCCAGTGGCTTTCCAAAATGACCGCTTTTGGCGTGCCACGTACGGTGCTTGCGGGCGAAAACGGGGCGCACAGGCTCGACGATCGTCCATTCTCTCGTCGTTTCTTTCTCTTCAACTAGTGAGAATCGATCGCGAGAAGGTATCCGATAGTTGTTGTCGCTAATTTCCTCCTTTCCATTTCCTATCCTTCTTCATCCATGAAGAATAGCGTGTCGGTAGTATTAGATAAAATGCAAGCATCAACGCAGTCTTTCTGTCAAAACGAAAGCTTGCGTCGAGGGCGTTCTCAAAATTTCAGAGGCGTACGAATATTGCTTTATCAGAAAAGACGCTTCAATCGTTCACGGTCGAGTCCGATATTATAGTTCCTCGTTGTCTCGACGAATTGTTTCCTTTTCGAAGAAAGAATGCGTTCGATGTTCTATCATCGATCTTGGGAACCGTTTTTAATCGCGGATCGGTGATACGGTGTGCGGCACTTGCGTTTCCATTGTTGTAAACTTTGCAGGTTCTACGTTTTATGCAGACGTTGCAAACTTTCAGATGGAAATGTATATATTTTTTTTTTCCTAAGCGCCGACTCCTATCGAGGGGAAAGGTAGTCGCTTTTATTAAATAGTTTTCCGTCGGTTTTGGAGACTGGTCTTGAGATTCCTAACCTCAAAGGGCGACGCTTACCTCCTTTTTTATTATAGTTCACTTACTCTAGCTGAACTTAACAAAAAATCTCTAGTGTGTTTGTTGAGAGGCGTTCGACGTGAAAGATATAGCTAATTTAATTTATACGCTCAGAAGAGAAAAAAATACTTAAAAAATCAAGAACATGTGTATGTAAAAAAAAAAAAAAAAAAGAAAGAAAGAAAACATTCGAATACACTAATGTAAATCACGCAAGCAATAACAACAAGGCCTTGCGATCATTCAAATGCCTACCGTTTCGGCGTAATAAGGACGGTTCAACTATTAATTGCAGTATTACTAAATGTATACAGACTAAAATACACTTACACGCCAATACCTACACAACAATTTACGTATACACACTAAATACTTCACATTGGATAAGAAGACTCTGTAAATAGTTAGCACGTAATTGATATTATAGGCGACAAACCTATTAATATTAACATCAAATTTATTTATAGTAAATTTTCCGAAATATCGTATATATTTGTGTTATTAATCAACACAACCTTTCCTATCCTGATTTTATCATCAATTATAATTAATTAATTATAATTGATTTAATATAATTAATAATTATAATAATAATTTATAATTAATTTCGAATAGTTTTGCTTTTATATTTAAATTATATGAAAGAATTCTAATAAATTTTTGGTAAGTATATACAGAATGGAGTATTTATTTATATTACAATTATTGTACACTGCATACTAGTTACAATATTTAAGATAATATTAATGTTGCATAAGAATATTTTTATCATTGAACTGAGATATAACTTAAAGAATTACAGAAAAACACGTCTAGTTATATGAATAATTTATTTCATTTAAATTATCCTGCGTGCTACATTGACAGTAGCAATCCCCTTAATGTGTTAAAATCAAAAGATTTCTTTTTTAATTTAATCAGATAAATGTATTAATAAATGTCTTTTTAAGTCCGGCATATTTTTTGGAGTGGCTGGACATTTGTGACATTTTAATGGCGTATTCAGATACTGCGCACTTTCCTCAGATTTCAACTTTTTTAATTCACCTTTCTCGCGCAACTGATTACAAATATCTGTAATTTGTAAAAAAATAAAATATGTTTTTTTATAAATGATGTTTTTTTTAAAAAATAGAGATATATTTACCTGTTGAATGTAAAAAGAAAGGTGTTGTAAATGAATTCCAATGGTATTTGGTCTTTAGACAAGGACTATTAAAATCAGTACTTATTACATGTAAATGTAATCTGTGCATGCTTGGTACAGCATGATATCCAATACTGTATAAAAATAATATAAGTATTATAAGTATATGTTGTATACTTATAATAACTTAATTTTAATGATATTAAATATAAATATCTATACATACAGGAATTCAAATTCCTTATGTTCTTTAGTTAAATCTTCAGCAATAGCATGCATATGTAATAATAAATCTTCATTTTCTTTTTTTACATGCCATAACGATGGAATATCTATTTTTGGTATGATCAAATAATGATATTGAGCTTTTGGATATTTGTCTTTAATGACAATTATTTTATCATCTTCTTTTACTTTATATCGAGGATCTTCCATAGAAACAAGTAAGCCTGTTGCCCAATGGTGCTTCTTAGGGGCTGTTGCATCACTTGATGTCACTTTTGGTTTGCGTTTCATTGTTATTTTTTGATTGTCACTTTCAACAAATTGTAATTTTTACTATAATATATACTCACACCATGAAACAAATTTTAGGTAATTTGTCCTTTTTAAAAATAGCATAATGCAATACTATAAATAATAAAATACCAAAGTACGGAAGAATATATAATTAATTCAATGTTGTTTTATAATTATATTATAACTTGATTCACTTGACAAAAAAATATAAAGATTTAAAACAATTATCAATCAAAAGTATTTTTTAGTAATTTTATACTAAAATAAATTAGTGTATAAAGATCAAAGAGGTTATGTTTGTGATATGATGTGCATTATAAGATATAATACATTGATAATTATATGAAAATTGATTACGTTTTATTTGGGAAAATATTATGCGCACATAATCACTATACATGTTTATAAATTTTCATGTCTTTTGCACTTACTCGATTTTATTCTACTTTATCTTTCAAAGTGCGAAATAAAATTACTTCAGTTTGACATTTATGTATAGATCAACTATCATTCGAACTTATTTAATGCGCATGAGTATGCACATGCGCATTTAAATAGGTTTTAAATTTATATCTATAAAAAAATTCTAAATGTATGTAGTTTTAGAAGAATAAAAAGATGAAAAAAAATAATTTAAAAATGATTAATTAAATGAATTTAAAATATATTATGATGAGATAATAATTAAAATTATCGACGAAACGATCGATGCAGAAAGAAATAAATAGGTTAGTGAATAACTTTAAATTTATTTATTTACTCAAATGGAAGGCAATCGATAAATTTGCAACAAATAAAAATAAATAACACTCTCTCTAGCAATAATTACGTGATCGTTACTTAAACGTACATCGTTACAATAAATTCATAGATACTTAACAAAACTTATATCTTTTTCTTTTTCGCATGCTCATACAAAATATGTTCGTGTGATTGTATGTATGTGTGTTCGCGCGTACGCGTGTTTGTATTACATTATTTTTTTCACTTTCAGTACAATCTCATGTAGCTTGTTATTACAAGTATATGTCACAAAAATCTTATATACAGACGAGTTTCGTCCCGTAGAATTTCTAATCGCTCATTTTTTTTTTGTTGTCGTTTATATATTCATCCAACAATACTCATACGTTCATTATACAAACAAAGACACTTTCACGCGTCTCATGACAGACTATCAGATTCGCACAGCCTGACAAATCAATCAATCGATAGATTTCATGATTCATGATTCGAAGAAAATGAAATAATTACAGGATTGCAATGCTAAGCAACGATATGTTAAAAAAAAAAAAAAAAGAAACAAAAAAGATGAGGGATCGTGCGCCGTATGCTGATCGATGTCATCATATGATGTTCGCTTACTTGCAATCACTTATACGTGACTGAGTTTTACAGTTGCTTTATCCTAAATAAATTCATACAAGCAAGCTCATTTCATGGACGACATATCGGCAGCATTTAACGACTCTCTAATTTTACGTATGATACAATATTTTACAACACGATACAAACTTTTATTGTCATGGCAACGGGTGGTATAATTATAATGACGAAGCGATACGCGGTGGCAAGGGGATTTTTGGCACGATTTTTTACCCCGATTATGCACCATGTTCTCTCCTTAATTTTCGTGCATATATTTTTCTATTTGCACGATTTGAACTTAAATGCAGAATTAATAGCGTAATCACAAAGCTATTTCTAATAATATTTAATTAAACAAACAAAATAAATGGTACGAGCTTCGTTCATTTAAATGCATCGATTTTGAATTGACCGCGTAAAGATACACGAGAGGGCACTGCAAATTCAGTAGTTCAAATATGGCGCGACTGAACGTTGCTCTCGAGTTTCGTGCCGAATATTTCTTGTTTTATTACCTCATTTTTACTTGTGATTACGTTGAATAGTGAATTTCTTAAATAATTATTTAAAATATAGTGTATTCGGGAAATGATTTTCGTTGAGAATGAGAATTATTTTGCAAAATATCGCAAAATAAAAATTACGAATGATTGCTTGGTTGCTTGCTACGAGGAGCATGGTGTCTCGGGGCTTCATGTGATGTTTCTCTATTGCATGTGAACGTTTGGAATGTTGCATATTTTTGCTGCTTCTTTGTGCGATATGGAGTGAACAATGATGGTATGTATTTGCTTGCCAAACTGCCACTTTTGATTGTGAAAATAGGGGATCATTTGAATCGATAAAGCAGTCTTTGCATCGTAAATTTGAATTCACTCATTTGTCCAGCAAACAATTCAATTGACATACTTGCTTTAATAGAAATAATATGAATTAAAATAATTTTATTGGACTATAACGTAAAAGATTGCTTTGTGATTCAATTGTGACATTTTCAGGAAAATTTGATAGCTCTAAATGGGGTTTCAATTAGCACCATCGCTGATCACATACGCTAAAATCGTTTCGATGCACTCACATACATTTTCACATACATTAATCACGCTAGGTAACATTGCATTCATTACATTCGCTCTTTATTACCGACTTAGGCAGTGCGATCCTTTATCGTTACGTCGGCGTACGAAGCCACTTGGTTCTGCAAAGAATGCCTCAGAAAAATGCAGGACTTTACGCTTTCTATTTTATGTTCATTTATAGTATAATAACACGAAACATAATAGAAAGTTTGTTTATTGTATATAATATTGCCTTATATGATATGATTCAATCATTATAAACATGTGTAATTCCGAATTGGACATAATGCGAAATACAAAGTTAGGTTAGAAACTTCGGTTGATCAATTAAAATTCTGAGACGAATTCTTCTTAACTTTTGCTCAAATATATGGACAAAAGCGCGGCTCGTGGTACGCGTAGCTTCGATCTCTTGCTCATTTGAAAACATGGAATGTCACAAAAACAACAAAAAAGATTCGTAAAGGGAAACGAAAAAACAGGAGAACCGCACAATACCCTGACATCGGTATACTTTTGTCCGCACCCATTCCGAAAATTTTTATGCGATTATTGATTAAAATATGTATGTGTAACCACTAACATCACATGCTCTGCCTTAGAAAAATTATGTATAGCTGTGCGGGAAAGCCGTCGAACTTTCTTTTTCCTTTTCTTTCTTTTTTTTTAATTATTTTTTTTCCTTTTTACTTCTTCCAACGCATGTTTACTTTCGAACTCGGCATACAGCATTATATTTTATATATATGCATATGTATACGTATATACATATATACATACATGTGTTTATATATATATATATATGTATATATATATATTCTCGTAAATAATTATCCCAATTATAACATTATAATTGAATACGGTTTTGTTTTGCAGAAATGGGATCGACAGAAATGAGATTGGATGAGGGAAGCATACGAGAAAAACATATACGCAGCTTTCCCGTTTTCCTGTTTAACACACACGCTATTCGCAGTTATTAAAACTCAAGCAACACACGACTGTAGACTGGATAGTAAAAACTAGCTAAAAACGCTCGTAAGGAAATTCTTTGGAGAATTTTGAAGATATCGTCGTTGTTGTCTTACTTCCATTTGCGGGACGTATCCGCTATTTCGTTTAGTGGTTCGTCCTCGCATATCTTTACCTTCGTTTCTTTCGAATGAACGAGATACGATCGAGATACGCGATATCGTTTTCCAGAAACTGAAACTGTTTTTTGAGTTCTTGATCTCGAAGTAGCAACGATTACAGAAAACGACTCACATGATTCCAATGCTCGATCGATTCCGTGAAACGAAAGAACGAAAATTCTGTGCATTGGTACTCATACTGACCGAGGAAGACCAAAGTATACGTGGCATTCTCTACTGACAATTATCTTCTATTATAAAATCCCTTAGAAACGATTGCTTCGTGGTCTTGTTCTCACCCTTGTTGTGTTTTCACGCTACGATCCTCTCGCAATTTTATGCACCTTTTTTTTCACGCTTATAAATAACTCACCTAGAATTTCGAACTTCGATTGAAAATTATACAGCTAGTTATTCCTAATTTCTTTTTTTTTTTTTTCTCTCTCTCTTAAGAAAGTTCTCCGCTTGATAACAAGTAGCATAAGTTTTACGTGTAGTAAGTACAATTCTTTTAACGTTCACGGGAAGTTGCACAGCGCCGAAGTCGCTGGAGAACAATGTCAGAGGCAAGCAACTGCAAAACGGTTCGTAAAAATGCACCAAAAAAACAGTCACAGACTAATCACAATATATAGCACTTGGCATTGCCGTTGTTGGATCGTCTTTGTGCTTCGCTGGATCTTTTTTCGTTTCCCGTTGATTTAAGTACACAAGGCCGAGCTCCGAGGAAAGATCTCGGGCTAGGTCGCGAAGTCGACTTTGTCCCAGGTTAAAAGATCGGAAGACATCTTGAAATCAGAGTCCTCCATGTTGAAGAGATCAAACGGATCTTGGCTACTGGCTAGCAGCGGATCGTAAATATCCGTGCCGCTCGACAAACTCGTCGGTGGCGCCGGTTGATGATTCGCCACCGTCGTGGAAGAGGTTGGAGGAGATTGCGGCATCAATGAATCGAGCCAATCTGGATCATCCATGTCCATGGGCATGTCGCCGATGTCCATCAACTCTTGAGGCGCTTCCATCTTTACACCTAAGTCGCAATCCAATTGACTGAAATCCATCGTGTCTAAGGTCTCGAGATCTAGCTCGAGTTCCTGAAATGTAAACGCAATACATTTATTATCATTTCATCAATGATTCGAGTAAGTATCTTGGATTAATTTCGAGCAACATCATCCGCGATCATCGGGCTTGATACCTTAAGGTCTAAATTCGCGTTATCCGACGACGTTACTTCTTGAGGAGGTTGAGGATCGGGCGACGCTTGCTGATTTGACTGCGGGCTGAGAAGCATCGCGGCGTCCAGCTCGCCCTCCGAGGTTAACAGGTCTGTGTTGAACGAGGAGATCTCCTCTTGCTGCTGCAACTGTTGTAACGCGGTTGGCAGCTGTATAGAGAAAGTTGCCAGAGGCAAAGGAGGCGGTGGCGGT